ATAGAACTCCGAATAAAAGGAGTAAAAAYACCYCTTATGAAATTTGGTATAAAAAGGTACCAAATTTGAGTTATCTCAAAGTTTGGGGTTGTAGAGCAATTGTAAGGCTCACTGAACCCAAACGGCAAAAAACTAGGTGAGAAAGGTATAGATTGTATCTTCATTGGGTATGTTGAGCATTCCAAAGCATATAGATTTTATGTTATAGAATCTAATGACTCTGTGTTAGTTAACACTGTTATAGAGTCAAGAGATGCTATATTTGATGAAGAGAGATTTACATCTATATCTAGACCAAGGGACATGATTCATTCCTGCAAAACTACAACTCAAGCTGAAAATGTGTGTGGTGGTACAGATTCTGTACCTGGACCATCTAAACCTAGGAAAAGCACTAGAGCTAGAAAAGCTAAGTCTTTTGGATCTGATTTTCAACTTTATCTAGTTGAAGGAACAAGAGATGAGAGTGTGTCTTAACATCAATATTGTTTTATTATTGAGAAGGATCCAAAGACTTTTAGTGAAGCCATGGCATCTAAGGATGTTGCTTTCTGGAAAGAAGCAATCCAGGATGAGATTGATTCGATCATGTATAATAATACCTGGGTTTTAACTGATTTACCTCCTGGTTGCAAAGCATTAGGATGTAAATGGATCCTCAAAAGAAAGATGAAAGTGGATGGCACCATAGATAAGTACAAAGCCAGGTTGGTTATTCAAGGTTTTAGGCAAAAAGAAGGTATTGACTTCTTTGATACTTATGCTCCTGTTGCTAGGATTTCCACTATTAGATTGTTGTTAGCTCTTGCAGCTATACATAATCTTGTAATTCATCAAATGGATGTAAAGACTGCATTCTTGAATGGTGAATTGGATGAAGAAATTTATATGAAACAACCTGAAGGGTTTGTGATGCCTGGAAATGAAAACAAGGTGTGCAAGTTGAAGAAGTCATTATATGGTTTGAAACAAGCACCAAAACAATGGCATCAAAAGTTTGATGATGTCGTCTTATCTAATGGTTTTGCACTAAACCAAGCTGATAAGTGTGTATATAGCAAATTTGATACTTCTAGTAAAGGAGTGATAATTTGTTTATATGTAGATGATATGTTGATCTGTGGTACTTATCAAGATCAAGTTGATAAAACCAAAAGGTTCTTGTCATATAGTTTTGATATGAAAGACGTGGGGGAGGCTGAGGTGATTCTTGAATTAAGAATCAAACAAGGAAACAATAGAATTTCAGTTTCTCAATCTCATTATATTGAGAAGATATTGAAAAAATTTAACTTTGGAAATTGTTCTCCTGTTAGCACTCCAATAGATCCTAGTCTTAAGCTTCTACCTAATAAAGGTGTTCCAGTGTCTCAGCTTGAATACTCAAGAGCTATAGGATGTCTTATGTATGCCATGACTAGCACTAGGCCCGATATAGCATATGCTGTAGGAAAGCTTAGTAGGTATACTAGTAATCCTAGTTCACATCATTGGCAAGCTTTAAGTCGAGTATTCAAGTACTTGAAATGAACCATTGATTATGGTTTGACATATAGTGGATATCCTTCGGTTATAGAAGGTTATTCAGATGCCAGTTGGATTACAAATTTGGAGGATCACTCTTCTACGAGTGGCTGGGTTTTTCTTCTTGGTGGAGGTGCCATTTGTTGGGCTTCCAAGAAACAGACTTGTATTACAAACTCAACAATGGAGTCTGAATTTGTGGCATTGGCTGCAGCTAGTCAAGAAGGTGAGTGGCTAAGGAATTTGATATATGAAATTCCATTATGGCCCAAACCGATTTCTACCATCTCTATCCGGTGTGATAGTGCTGCAACCTTGGCCAAGGTTTATAGTCAAGTGTATAATGGGAAGTCTAGACATTTAGGTGTTAGACATAGCATGATTCGTGAGCTCATCATGAATGGTGTGATATCGGTGGAGTTTGTGAGAACTCAGTTGAATTTAGCCGATCATCTAACCAAAGGGTTAGCTAGAGATCTTGTRCACAAGGCGGCTGTGGGGATRGGTTTAAAGTYCAYCTRAAATCTTTCATATTAAGATACCCAATTCCCATCTAATRTAATGTTAGATGYTGAATTCAATGTGGAAAGCTTGATATCTAAAGATTGGAACACATTATTAGCGTCATCCCAAGGTATGTGTTCAGAACTGCAAGTAAAGGAGGTTGAAATTATATTTCTTAATAGTTCTTTTGAAAAATTGCATATGCAGATGCAAGAGTAAGAGAACTACCTATATAAGCATGAAGTTTAGTCGCTTCAAGAAGTTTGGGACTTAGCTTTGATATGCTTATTGAAGGATAGGACACAGGCTAGTAAAATATAGTGTCAAGTTAGAACATGAGAATGTAAACTGTTGTGTATATTATCTTCATGTGTTCACTATGAATAGAAAGGGTTCAATCCTTAGTGACACCCTGATATTCGAATATTTGAAATGAGTAGTATACTAATGTGAAATTCAATCGTCATGATATTTCATTTATGCATCAGTTTGTTGTGTTATGACATTGATTTAAGTTAATCAATATTACACTTAAATGGGGGAGGATTGTTGGTGATTATTATCACTAATATCATTTAAGGGTAATGGGATTAATTTGTTGACCAATGTAATCATGATAAATATCGAACAAGCAAGGAAGGTGTGGAGTGCACACTTGTTTGAGTTTATTTTGATTTAGGGGAGACGCCCCTAAACGACGGGGGTCCGGGGGCAGCGCCCCCGATGGCGGGGTCCAAGGGGCAGAGCCCCTGGCTGGGGTCAAAAAATGCATCAGAAATCCGAATTTTAAATTTTAAACCCGGTTTTGGCCCGGTTTTAAAACCCAACTTTGTGCGTAAAAACTGCCGGTTTTGACAGTTTTTGCACGTTTTCTTCAACTTTTCGAATTGGTCTTTTTCGCGGATTTGCAGAGAGGGTGGTACATAGATTTTCATAACAATTTCAGATTCGAAGTTCTGTCACTGAATTTTATCCGATTGAGATTTCGATAGTACCGTCGAAATACTTCAATCTGAAAGTGAAAAACGACTTTCAGTGGATTCCGGGAAAACGATTCTAACATAAACCCCAGTCAAAAGTTGTCATATTGTTTTGTGTTAGTCTTTACGCCTGTGTGCGGCTTTTGACACTCTTGATAACTTTAACAGCAATTGTGATGTTTGAGTTTTATAATATTTGTAGCGTTCTTCAGTTACTTACTACAATTATCAATTTTGACATGTTTTTCATAATCTTTACACTCCAATGCGTGATGCCAAATTTACATATCAAGTACACAAATTAATGCATCAATTGATAAACCATATTAATCATGATTAATAACAATACCTCTACTCACGAACCAAAATGACGCTCATAACCTCTATCATCAACACTTGCACTAGCACTTCCATGGTCCAAAGAGTAGTTCTTCCCTTTGTGGTCACCACGATCACTCAAACGGCGAGGCCTGAATAGTCTCAACGTCTAAACCATCCAAGCCTTGGATGACACATACCATCGAGGAAAAAAGCAAGAAGAACAATATGCTACTTCCAACCCAAATGCAACCACAACCACTTATGGTGTTGTCTCTGTTTTTATGCTAGTCTTGCAAAAGTGATTATGTATGCACTCGTTGATTTATGATATGATTGCTTATTAATTTATCCACCTTGACCAAGATTAGTTGTTGACTATGTTGAATCGTGAAAGAATTTATGTGAATCCAATTTCATGACATCTTTGGAGTATAATTTCGTTTGATCTCATTAGTACGCAATTTTTGGTTTGATAGACTATTAGTAGTGATATGAATAACCCAGTATCTAACCACAGGGTGGTGCCTAGTTGGCTTGAGCTTGGCTCAAAAGGTCAAAGGTACCAGGAGGCCCCAAGTTCAAATCCAAGGAGGAATAAAAATCCTCTTGTGGTCACGGAGGTTCAAATGCGGTAACTCCGGGCTATCTGCAAAGCAGGTGGTTGCCCTGGGATTAGTCGGCTCACATAGCGGGTTGGATATCCAGGTTAATCAAAACAAAAACAAAAAATCCCAATATCTTTTTGCTTAAACAAAAGATCCAAAAAAGCCATAAATTTTTTGTTGTTATAATCTGAAAAATATTGTAAATTGTTGTACATAAAGCAAATTGTATCAAAAGGCACTTGTTCCAATTCATATATCGGGGATAAGGCTTTAAAAAAATATATTTAAGGTTGTATAATATAAGTCTCGAAATGAAAAAAGGGACATGATCTTGAGAATCGATATGCACAACTTTGTACATGAGATGGAATTCATACAAGATGGAATTTATGTCTGATGTCACTTGCAAGACTCTATAAGATGCAGAACGAGTTCAAACTCACGTTCAAAGTTGCCTACAAGACTACATGAGTTGCAGTAGTCACGCCCACGCATACCAGTAACCAAGTATATTTTTTGTTCCAAATTTAAACTATAGACCTTTAATAGTGTCTTTTAAAAGTATGTTACTAAAACCTACTGATGTAGTATGTGCTACTCGACACCATAATAAAGTTAAATTCACATCACACTATCTGTCTTGTTCCAGCGAATAGTGTCCCTCCACTCCATGGGTCCTTGCTACAATCTTAGCTTGAATTAAAAGTGATCCCAGTTTAGTTTACAAGTTTCTTGGAGATCTTACATATAAAAATGTAACTGTGTTGCATATCATGTTTACTTAAATTTTATTTGTGGTTTAACTCTCCACACCAAAAGTGACCTTTGGCATAGATAGTTTACTGGGAGTATGGATATACATTTTCAATAGGATTATTGTTACGTTTAAGAATCAAAATCAACAAAAAAAGACTGTAATCAAAGAGAATTAGTTGATTTACATTTACAACGATTCAAATACTTGTCAAAATCTTATTAAATTCAAAATCGAAGTCAGTTAACGGGTTACTACAATCTTAGGTCATAATAATCAGGTTTACAACGTATCCAAACTCCAACACCGATTTATGTCATGTATATTTAACGGGGTTAGTATTGGTGGCAAATTGGTAACAAAAGAAACTTTAGTGGCCGAAAAGGAATAAATCTTTGTTAAGTGGCAAATTGATCTAAAAGATAAGTTGAAAGTTGTAGGTTATGCTTTGTGGTTTATACTCGATTAATTTGGAGCCTAAAACAAGTGAATGCATGGAGTAATAACAGGCCTTGCAGTCCCCAACCAACCATCACCGCCGTTTTACTCTAAAACCCTACCGGAGATGACGTCTCAACCACCTAAGAAGAAACAGAGGAGGAGGAAGTCTGGCAGAGGTGACACGGGGCAACTAGAACGATTCGACTCACTTCCATGGACCTCATCCCTTCCTGATACTGACGATGACCCGTTCTCTGCATTAGCCGGATTAAACGACTTCGAAGGAGGTTCGTAGTTACTATAGCATCGACTAATTTTTATTTGTTATCGGAAGTCTTCAATTATTTGCTGCTATTGTAGGGTTTATCGTTTTCCAGCTTAACAGCTATTCGAATTTCTTATCCGTACACACAGGCAATGCGTAATTGAAATTACTGGAAGGGAGAGTTTGGGGGTTTCTTGTTGCATCAATTCAGTTCCTTTTCTTCATAAAAATCAGAACTTCTATTGATAAGTTTACGCTTCATTATTTGACAGGAAAGCAGTAGATCATTGTCATCGAATGTTTTGTTTAAAGCAAAGAGAAATGGTTCAGTTATTATTGAGATGTTCTTTTATGTAATTACTTTAGTTTGTTAGCTTACATCCTTTCTCTATTCAAAGATTTTGGTGGTCACCACAATGGAGAGTGAAGACAGATTATTAAACAACGCATATGGTGTCTGATGAAGAATTGGATAAATAAGCTGTTTCTTGACAAAATTTTGCAACAATTGCTTACCTAAATGAATAGAAGATTCAGGAATATTTTAGTTGACTGTTCAGCTTTGTGGCTGCAGGTGTTTTGTCTCTTGAAGAGATTGATGAATCAGAATATGGATTGGAGCTTCCTAAAGGAAATCAGAAGGGAGGGAAGAAACAGGAAAAACCGACAAAACGGAAGCGAAAAGAAAGTGATGGTGATGAGGTTATTGGTAAGGAGGATAAAGATGGTGAGGCTCGAAAGGAGGATAAAGATGGTGAGGCTCGAAAGGAGGATAAAGATGGTGAGACTGGAAAGGAGGTTAAAAGGAATAAGAAGAAGAAGAAAAAGAAGAAGAAGGCTAAAAAGTCCAAGGAATCTGTGGAAAATGAAGAAGAAACAGCTACTGGTTAGTGTTACTTTAGTTTCAAGTTAACAAGCATTTTGGCATTGTCAACAAGTACTATAAGAGATTTTAGCTAAATACAGTCCCTGGCTGACATAACTGTTATTTAAAGTACCACATTCCTGGGACTGTTTCAAGTTATTATCTAGTATGGTTTTATGTTGATTAATTTATCTATTCAAAGCTTTAGTTCGTTTTCATCTCTACTAATGTTATCTTGATATAAATGATGATTTAGTGCAAGTTTTGTAATTTTCATGTTAGAGATGAGAAAGACCAAGTATTAAGCAACGTTATTCTCACATGGCAAGCTTCCTTTCATAATTTGTAAACAGTTGCAGAAACCAATGGCAAAAATGATGTCGAAGAAGATCAAATTGATGACACTGAATATCATGCATGGTATGAGCTCAGGCTTCATCCATTGCTTATGAAATCCATATCCAGGCTGAAGTTCAAGGAACCAACACCGATACAGAAAGCTTGTATACCTGCTGGTGCTCATCAAGGAAAGGTTGGCTTAGTCATTTAAGGACGTTCCACAAAATGTTGACAAGTTTCTCTTTACAGTTTTATGTGCTTAATGACTGTCTTTAACATTTTTCTTTGACAGGATGTCATTGGCGCTGCAGAGACAGGGTCTGGTAAAACGCTGGCATTTGGATTACCAATTTTACAACGTCTCCTTGAAGAACGGGATAAATTTGACAGGCAGGTTGAAGAAAAAGGACAGGCGGATGAACAAGTTGTTTCAAGAGGTCTTTTAAGAGCACTTGTTATTACTCCCACTAGGGAGCTTGCACTTCAGGTACTCATTATTGCTATGTTTAGCATGTATTCCAAGTTTAATATGCACCATAATGAGAAAATAGTGGGTGTGATCCTCCCATGTTCTTAAGATGTTCACGTGACATATCACCTTTTAACTGAAAAAGGAGTGTAATTATTGTTATCATTAAACTGTACGTATCTCTTTTGATAATCTATGATGTCATTCATCCTTTTTGTTTTTATATCTATTTCCCCCTTTTAGGTCACTGATCATCTGAAGCAAGTGGCGACAGGGACTGATATTAAGGTTGTTCCAATTGTTGGTGGAATGTCAACAGAAAAGCAAGAACGACTTCTGAAGGCAAGGCCTGAGATTGTTGTTGGAACTCCAGGGAGACTGTGGGAACTAATGTCAGGCGGAGAAATTCATCTTGTCGAGGTGAGATGGAGAGTCCCAATGGGTAGTGTAACAGTTAAAACTATATGGATCAAAACTGTTTGATGGCAATGATTGATAAAACATGAGTTTGAATTCTTAACAGTTTATTCTTATATGCTTCCGCTTACTACGTCATCATAATCATCTTTACCATTCTCATTATTAAATTATGCTTGCCTGTAATCTTAAGTCACTGATCACTTTGCAGTTACATTCACTGTCATTCTTTGTGCTGGATGAGGCTGACCGGATGATAGATAATGGTCATTTTCATGAGTTGCAGTCAATTATTGACATGCTTCCAATGATTAGAGAAGGACATCCAGAGGATACTCAAAACTGTGTGACAGCTTCAAGCTTCCAAAGGAAGAAAAGGCAGACTTTTGTGTTCTCTGCAACCATTGCTCTGTCTTCTGATTTTCGGAAAAAGCTCAAGCGTGGATCTATGAAAACAAAAATAGATGGTGAATTGAATTCGATGGAAGCACTCTCTGAGCGAGCTGGGATGCAATCCAATGCTGCTATTATTGATCTGACAAATGCATCAATTATGGCAAATAAGCTTGAAGAGTCATTCATCGAGTATGTACTTCTCTTTCCTTCTATCTTGTGGCATGAAAACTTCTTCTGTGAGAGCATGATATGTGGTGTATGACCAAAGATCTGCTAGTAGCTTCACAACATACTTTGATCTTTATGTTAACTTTGTGATTTCATGATTTTCTTTTCATACACATGTGGATAACATGCTTATGAATGCTTCTGTACATTCACTCTTTCTCTTGCTTATATCTTTTGTTCTGCTTAAAACTGGATCTTTGAAACTATTGTGGTTTCTTCTACTTCAGTTATACTTGCAATTGGTGATTACAAGCAGCTCATACTAGCACACGTTGTTTGTTGTTCTCTTTGTAGTTTTTAAATATAGCTAGTTTATCAAAAAGGTCTCATCTTGAACCTATATGCATGAGAATAACAATGCATCATAGTGATTGAAGAATATCAAGGTGCCTTTTTTTGTTCTATTGAGAAGGCAAAGATAAACCAAGAAAATATACACATCTAGTTAGCATCAAGCCTAGAAGGCTAGAACCCACAACTAGGTAAGTTGTCATAATTATCGAATTCTAACCTCCGTCGAATTGAAATTCAAATGGGTTTCTTAAATGAATACGAATTTGGATACGTACATATTCAATTCGATTAACATCCATTTACAGGCCTACCTGCAACCATTAGATTCATAGAGAAGGTTAAGGCCACACTTAGGTTAAAAGAGGCCTGTTTGTATTCACATTTGGCGGTACGTGTTTCTTGTTCACTGTAGATTGTAACTTTAGATATTCACATTGGATGATCAGAACTGTTTGTGTCCTTGTGTAAGTGTTAATTCTCTCATACGTGCTTCAGCCCAATGCATGGATGTAGAGTTGTCCATTTCAGTTAACCATCGATGGCATGTGTCTATGGACTTGTTACTTTCTTTATTTGTATTTTATCTCAATTACCAAACAAAAAAGAAAGTCCTGCATATTTTGGTTAAAGAGAGATTTCAACAATGGCACATACTCATCAGTAGTGAACTCAAACCTGCAGGTGCCAGGAAGAAGATAAAGATGCCTGTTTGTATTATATTCTGTCCGTCCATGGACAAGGACGGACTATTGTCTTTTGCACATCAATTGCAGCCTTGCGTCATATATCTTCTCTTATGCGCATTCTTAATGTCAATGTTTGGACCCTTCATGCACAGATGCAGCAGCGTGCTCGCTTGAAGGTTTGTTATTTTCTATCTTGAATTCATTGCACAGCATTATTTCAAACTTTGCATAGATGACCTTTCTGGTCTGACCATGGTTAATTTTTAATGATCTGAATGATCACTGATATCAAGCATGGAAGCCAATCACTTGCAAGATACTCCATCCTTCCCAAAGAGTATTATAATTAGTAAAATCTTGTTCAATTTTAAATGTAAAGCATCGTAAGTCACTATTTACAAGAAATGTAAATTGTTGCCACCAATCATCTTAATAATGATTGCATTCTGATTAACTTCACAGGAAACTATGCATGAACTTTGATGAACAGAACATTTTGAAAGATGCATTTGACTTCTATATTTCGTAACATGTCTTTGTATATACAAATATGTCCTCTTTGTGTTTTTTGACCCGTGTGCCTAGTTATTTCTATTTCATGCAGCTATAATCCTTGCTTGAACTGCAGGCAATTGACCGTTTTCGTGGTAATGACCATGGCATACTTGTTGCCACGGATGTTGCAGCTAGGGGTCTTGATATTCCTGGTGTTCGGACTGTTGTTCATTATCAACTTCCTCATTCTGCAGAAGTAATGTTTTGTGTTCCTTTTTCCTTTTTCTTTATCTGCTATTGTTAGTGCTTTGTGTATGCTGATTAGGTTTAACTGCCAGGTTTATGTTCATAGAAGCGGGAGAACTGCCAGAGCTTCTGCCGATGGCTGCAGCATTGCTCTGATTTCCCCGAAGGAAGCATCCAAGTTTTCTTCTTTGTGCAAATCATTTTCAAAGGTTAGTGGTAAGATTATAGATTTGCTCTCAAGTATTGTGAGAAATATTTAGCAATAGACTCATGTTTGTGATTCATTTCTTGTTCGTATACAGGAAAGTTTTCGGCAGTTTCCCATAGAAGCTTCATACATGCCTGAGGTATCAAAGCGGCTATCTCTTGCACGGCAAATAGACAGGGTTATGAGGAAGGAATCACAGGTAAATTTGCCTTCGTTTGTTATAGAATTGTTGTTAATTACATATTCAGTCTTGTAACATTTGTGTTCTTAAATATAAATGTTGGTTTTCCATCGGCCATTAGATGAAATCTAATAGACTTCACCAACATCAGTTTTGTTATCTATTGGCACACTGGCTCCTAACACTGTGCCTTGCATGTAATTACTTCTCTGATTTATCATGAATGTCATTTAACTTGCTAAATCAATTTGCAGTCTTTATAACCCACTTTTGGGACATAGGGGATTAGGGGTTGTGCAGCTTTCTTTCAATCCTTTGCAGCTACTTCAAATTCGTTCTTATTATAGTGTCTGGTATATTACCTCTTCTAGGACAAGGCTGATAAAAGCTGGTTTCAACGGAATGCTGAATCAATCGAACTGATTGTGGACGAGAATGACAGTGAGGAGGAAAGAGTGAACAGTATCAGGAAAAAGAAAGCAAGTTCTGCTAACCTAAAAAAGCTGCAGCAGGTTTTCTTCTACTATTTGTTATAGTTCTCGTTAAACTAGAACTTTTTTGTATGCAAACACATTCTACTTGCTGTTTTTGACTTTTTTTCATGGGTGGCGAAACTGCAGGAACTCAATTCATTGCTTTCTCGTCCATTACAACCCAAGACATTCTCTAGTCGATATTTGGCAGGGGTAACCACTCATAAATATGTTCACTTCGTTTCTCTGCTTACGATCATTGAAATCTCCCAGATTTTCTCTGATGTTATTTTATGAAGAAGTGTTGTGGAAGGTGATAGGGGGATGCTCAAATGAGAACCGTAAATATTTTGAGAACTTTGCAACCATCTATTCATGATGAATAATATACATGAATATTTTAGAGTTATTCATGAAATAGTTGGTTCCCAAGTTTTCAGAATACTTACGAAACTTTCCCCACAGGTAGTATTCCTGTGAAGTGGGTATACATATAGCTAGTTGAGCCACCAAATGATACCAAGACCATGGAACCTGATGGGGAACCTATATCAATTGTGTTATGGATCCTTTGTCATTATTTCACCTGACGATGTAAAATAAACTTTGCCATCATCAGTTATTTTCAAGGAAATATGATTAAAGCTTCCCATCTATGACTCGTAACATTTTCTTTATCTGTTGCAGGCTGGTATTTCACCACTTCTTCAACAGCAATTTGAAGAATTAGCTAGGCAGAAACTTGGGGACACTGGGAACCCAGGAGATAACAAGAAGAAAATGGTTGTTATTGGTCAGGATTATGTTGAACCACTCCAAGCTCTCAGGAGTAGTGGTCAGGAGGTAATTTTGTTTCCTTGCCATTTGCCTTTAATGGTTATAGAAGCAGCTGATCGATATCTTTCTTGAACTCTGGATAATAAAGTGAAAATCTACTATCAATGTGTGCAATGTGCTGTGTTTAAGATATTGATTACCAGGACATCTATTTGTGTATGCTACTATGCTACCAAGATTTCATCTCTTGATAACCTAACCATCCCTATTCCATGATTTTGCCAGCGTCTTATCAGTTCATCAATATGCATAAACCCTTTTTATGACTCCATTTATACATGCAGGTTATTGTGGATCCTAAAGGGGCAGCAGATAAGCGAAGAAACTTGGACACCCTACGAAGAAAGAGGAAAGAGGAAAAAAGAAGTACAATCCTCCCCCCAAAATAAATGAACAGTTGCTTGTTGATAATCCTACTTTTATCTTGTTAATAATATTGCATTTTGCCTTTACAGGGTTGCATGATCAAAAGAGAAAGCAACGGAAAATGCTAAAAGCAGGAGGCGGTTAAAACGAACCCAATGAACCTAAGTTATCTTAAAGAGGAGAGAAACAAAAGGCGAAGCTATCGTCATTTCACAGTGCCAACTTATAGCTAGGATTTCATACTAGAAGATCAAATTTTGTCTGAAACTTCGAATACATCAATTTGATGCATGTAAAGAACCCGAAAAGTGAAATGGGCTTTGCTAGCTACCTACTTTATTCGTGCATGTGTATGAACCCTAAGGGGTGACATGATGTATTGTTGAACAAAATATGTTTAATTGAATAGAAATACCTTCTGCAAGTACAATCTTATAGCAATCTAGTCCACGAACCCAAAAATGGGAAGACTGCAATCAACAATCTCAAAAGTAATGGTGTCTGGCTTCTTCTTTCTCTCCTGCTCAATGTACTCTTTGATGTCTTTCGTCTTCGATCTGTATTAGATTTAGACCCACCTCTTCTATCCAGTTCTTCCCAGCCACCAAAACTTGATGATGAACCATTGCTACTTGAACCACCATCTCCAGCCACCCATGTTTGATACCCAGTTGCTGCCCTCTTTCTTTCTCCTCTCATATACTTGTCTTCTTGTTCGTCGTCTATATCCACAGAAGTTGCGGCACTTTGTGGCGGTGGTGGTTGTGGTGGTCTCCTCTTGCTCTTGCTCTTCTTGCCTTGGCTCTTCGTTCTATTCTTTGGCCTTCCCCATACCGTCTGGAATACCAAAGAAAGCACCGACTGGCCTAGGGGAATAGCTAATGCCATAAGAAATGCTTTCGGACCAGATGTTAACAGCAAAGATGAGATTATTGCAGGAAGCATCCACCCAAATGATCTGAATACCTGCACTGGTTATATACATTACATGTATTAATTCATTTTCACTATGCATCATTTAAGTATTGGGAAACGTTGATCACTATTTGACCTTTCCAGATTCAAAATTGACAAGAATTTGTGCCAAATTTAACATCAAAACTAGTATTTTGGCACAGATTGAAACTTGAACACTAGGTTCCTTGACCTTCGGAGTCAGAAAATACCTAATGTTCTTACCATTCTAGACATACAACTCAAAACGGTGAGCTTCTAAATTTGGAAACTAACAAAAAGAAATAGTATATCACCTACAAAAAATTTGAATTCTAACACTACATATATGCAAAAAAATCACCTTAAAAATCCACACACCGTCAATGAAGTCCTCAAGGATGTCAAGCCACTGTATTGTATCATCATCATCATCATCATCTTCTTCTTCAAAATCATCATCGTCTTCGTCTGTGGAGTTAAAATCGAAGTTCTGTGTTCGAAACGTCTCTGCATTCGAGTCCCAGCGGCGACTCTTGGTGTGAATCCGATGACGCAACATACGCGTGTGGTTTATGGAGAAAAAGGCCGACCGGTCGATCGGCGGCCATAGCTGCTGATCGTGAGACAGTAGAAGCTGCAACGGCGGCGGTGACTGGTGGAGGCGTGTGAGGAGGATTAGGAAGACCATTTGTTTGTAATGGCGGTGGATGGTGGATTTGAGGTTCAGTTCATTTTGGCTCCGACCAAAAACGTTATCCACGGCAACCTCCAGTCCACCCCGGATTCTTGATAAAACAAGAGCGTTGCTGTTTTCATTTGGTTCATTACTTCTCATGTCTAATGACATTTTTGCCCCTTCATTCAAAATTAGGCATCTCTATTGTTTTAAGAGATTGTCTCTAATTTCTTCAACATAAACTAATTATATATAATATTGACAACCGCGAGTTAAAAAATTGTAATTTCTATGAACTTAATATTAAATCTTAACCGTTTAAATTGGATATTTTACAGTTACATATGGATCCAACCTACTGCCAGACCCGTTCATGACATATATATAGACTCTGAGCGAACATAAAAACATAGCACACTGTAAGAAACGAGGCTTTTAGCAACGACTTTTGTCGTCGCTAAAAGTTCATTTATCATCAGAAAAAGTATATAACAACATGTCGTTGCTATAACTTATGGCAGAAACATGTCATCGCTAAAAGGCACATAGTCAAAGCTCATTTTTTTTTGTAGTGACCCTTAGTAAGTACGAAAAAAAATTCAATAAATGTTTTTCATTAGTATCAAATTGAGTACAAGAAATGCTAATAATTTACCGAGTAAAGAAATCTTATTTATCTTTATTATAGATATATAAAAGATTACTTAAATTTACGTACTTCTTATTAGGTAATTCGAAACTAAGAGTATAAAAACTATAGTTGATAATTTTTTACAAAAAGTAAGAATTTTTTTAGTTCATAACAAGAAATATGTATTATTTTGATACAAAAAGAGAATTCGCGTGAATGATGTAATCGTGAGGGTCAATGAGAGATCAATAATAAAGAAGATTATCAAGGTTTTTCAAACAATTAGACAAATGAGAATTAATAAGAATATCAAAGAAAATATGATCCATTGAGATTTAATAAGAATAAATAATGAATTAAACATATAATATATAAGCTCAACAAATGATTGTTTGAGCATTTAAATAGAATCTTGTTGTGTGGTGGAATCCCAATGAAAGATACATAAGTGAAACAATTGATGAAAATATTTAAATTATATCTTTCTTCTTTTTTTGTTCAACTAAAATAATATGTTAAGATTAAAAGTTTATGGAACATGAAATATATAAGAGACAATACTAAATACATCTAGTAGAAAAAATTTATTGATTAATCACAAAACAATTAGAACACATCATAAATTACAAGAAAAATAGATTGATTGTCAAACAATATTAAAATACTTTGTGTAGAAACAAAAATAGATAGATAACAATAGTCAACAAAAACAATTAGAATAATGTAACCAAATAAAAATAGTCAATAGAAGCAGAAATTGATAAAAACATATTCAACAAAAATATATAGCAATAGCAAACACATGATCTTAACATTGAATTTTTGAAACACGAAAACAGTCAAACATATAGAGATGACAATAACCAATATTATTGGACTTTGTTGGAGTTAAAAAAAATTAGAGAGACAATAAACAATAGCATATAATGGATGACCAATTAATTTTTTTTTCTTCTCTTATGTAATTAGTTGATATATTTTTGGGCCCTTATTATCTACTAAATTTTGTTGCCTCTTATTATATGCTACAATTTTTTGGGTTTCTTTAATTTATTAAATTCTTTTAGACTACAATTGTATTTTAAGGGAAAAATTTGGGCCCCTGATATTTTTGGGTCCTGGGCGTGCGCCCGTGCCGCCCTCCCCCAGGGACGGCCCTGCCTACTGCTCCCTGTTATATGATTCCCATGATCCAACCCACCCCTCTTCTTCTTTTCCTATCGCTTCCCCCATTTATAACCACAATATCTTCAACCTCCTTCTCCCATGTTACACGATCATCTTCAACCTCCACGTTCCAAGTTGTGTCCCCAACCCCCAGTCTCCCATGATCCACATGATGCTCCTCTTAGCAACTATAAATAAATGCAAATTTGAGCAAAGGATGAATGCTAACTCTGTAATCAAATTGGTAGGTGTAGTTCTAATATCCGTTGCAAAGGAAGGGGTACGGTTTTCGACCAAGTGTGACGTTGGGACTCCAAATACTGTGTGCAAACAAAACAAGTCTGTAAACAATGTATGTTTGCCAATTATACGAAAGAACATTTAAAGGTAATACCAATCAAAGGCTCTAGTATCAGGATTAACTAGAGCCTCTGATTATCTTCAAATTTATTTTATCTACAGCTCAATATACCGTACTTTCTATGTTCTAAGTAGCATTTTGGGTGAAAATTCCGTAATCAAGTTCCAATTTAAATAATTCTAGAGGTAATCGAGTAGACGAACACTAACTTCAATGAGTTCATCACCTTCATAGTTTCTAAGGAGCCTTTATTGTATGTAAGGTATTTCTGATCATCTGAAGGAGCCTAAAGTTGTGCTTAACCTTGACGAAAAACCAACCTTTGCTAAATTTATTCAAGGTGTGTTTTGGAATAACAATTTCGTTTTTTCGAAAAGGAAAGAAAACGTGTGTGGGATCTCTGTAATTGGAACTGGGATGTCGTTATTGATCTGGATGGTGATGAAAATAATCCGAATGTTGATGAGGAGTTGCTTGACACTGTCGACTCGGCATCAGCTCTTACAAGATGCGTTAAAGTACCTCGGGTCGTCGTTCATAGCCGTAGTTGGATGCACCGTGTTTGGGATGTGTCCGATGACGATGATTACCTTTCTTTGTAGCGTTTAAACCAACTAAAACCTTTCCTTAGGTATCTAACCAAACATCAACAATGGAAGTACTTGTAGGTATTTAAAGTGTAAGGGTGGATTATCTCTTGGAACTATGTTGATTTGTTACCGTTTTGGTTCTGATTCGATTTTCTTGAGCTGCTGGTTGGATTGTTATTTTCATGGATCAGTTGTTGGAAATATGGTTCCTTTAACTTTTATGATCCATGTTCATATGGATTGGGATTTGATTTGGAGGCTGCTGTTATGTGACAACTATGGCCAAATCCTTTTTGTTACTGTCCAGCAGGGTCTGAATGTTCATGTTTATGGGTGTTTCTAAGTTGTTGTTATGTGTGATAAGTTGAAATTCCATAAATTATATGGGATATCATAGGAGCCTTCTTGTCTTCACTTGGTATCGTTAATTATACAAGCATACTAAGAACTCAATTTCGTGGCATGACTTGACGTGGTGAATTAGTTAGTTTGTAGTAATGCTTATCTGAAGTGTTTTGAGTTCTAAATTTTTTTACATTGGGAAATCCAATCACTATGTGGGTTCAAATTGTGCAGCTCTTGCTGTAACAAACTGCTAAGAGTTTCCGCTGAGATTTTACTACTGCAGTAGCATAAAAGATTAGTGTTCAAATTGGAGTCTATATGATTTAAGTGTTGGGTTATGGGATTTTAAGCATAGCGAAAAATAAAACCGTAACCCTCCAAAGACCCATACTAACCAGAATAAATCGGGTGTTTCGAAATTATACCTCACAGTCAGAGAGACTTTGAACAAGCAAACCTTGATGCCTCCACGCTATGCACACTAACAATCAGAATCCTTTGCCTTATCGTGATGTTAGTCATGGTTTGTTGTAGGTGATTTTTGTAGAGAAAATTGCAAGAGCAAGAATTGCATAAAATGTCATACAATTCATGGTTATGAGAGGTATAGCCTAAAACCACCACCATCCCTACACCTTACTCGAGTTTGAGACTTGCCAAACACCATCCCTCTCCTTTTAAAGACCATCCCTCGCCAACCTACATTATGTCCGACATAAAATAATATATGATTTTGAGTTAATCAGATTAAATCAATACAAATCATATATAAAAATTAAACATTTTTAGTTATTGGAACCCCTTATTCAGATATGTTCAAAGCCTGTGACCCGATGGGTTCTCGACATGTTGGTAATAAATATAAATCTCGTATTTATATTTATAAACGATGAGCGGCATCTAGCAATACATCATCGCCACCCAACTGATGAAAATGATACAACAAATTGTCAGTTTGTAGTCAATTTTAGTTTATACATTTAATTCTTTTGTCTTTGATATCCAGATTTAACACGAGACATTGAATGTGTCATTCTCGTTAGGTCCAAACTCTAGTTTCTTGATTCCCTAATATAATGATAAAACAGATCATATGATATTTCATATCAATTATCTGAGCATGCATAACCTCTTCATCAAAACGATAATTCTAACTCCTTGAAGCTTGCTTCAATCCATAAATAGATCGTTGCAACTTGCATACCTTATGAGATTTTTCAGGAGTGACAAAACCTTCGGGTTGTATCATATATACGTCCTTAAGTAACTTTTCATTAAGGAAAGCCGTTTTCACATCCATTTGACAAATCTCATAATCATGATATGTTGCAATGGGTAGTAAAATTCTAATAGACTTAATCATTGTGACTGGAGAGAAAGTTTCATCATAATCAACACCTTAAATTTGTTTGAAACCTTTTGCAACCAATTGTACTTTATAAGTAATCACATACCATCCATGTCGGTCTTTTTCTTGAAACCCATTTGCACCCTATAGATCGTACCTCATTATGTGGCTCAACTAAGTTCTAAACTTGGTTTCATACATGAAGGCCATTTCCATTCTCATAGCATTTAGCCATTTCTCGGAGTCGATGCTTGCCATAGAATCTTGGTAATTAGTGGGCTCATCATCCATAAGCATTATATCCCCGGTATGAGTGATGAGAAATCTATATCTCTCAGGCTCATTCCCTTTCTACCAGATCCAGGAGCACTTTGTGTTACTACATCAGACTGCCTTTCCACAAAAATTTGTGGATCCACAACTATTTGTGGTGTCTATGTTGGTTTCATATGTGTTGACAAATATTGATCTTGAACAACTTCAAGTTCTACATTCCTCCCACTGATACCTTTGGAAATAAATTCCTTTTCCATAAAGACACAAGTACATCCAACAAACACTTTATTATTGTGGGGATGATATAAGTAGTATCCCATAGTTTATTTGGGATAACCTACAAATATGCATTTATCATATTTTGGTTCTAGTTTAGTTGTGATTAGATGACGTACGCAAACTCACTACCCCAAATCTTTATAAAAGATAATTTGGGAATCTTCCCTGTCCATA